CCCCCAATTTATGCTGCGCAAGGCAAAGGGATGTGGTACACCTAGTGGTGAATCCTTAGAATTGGAGAAGAGAGCAATGCGAAGAGTGTGACGTCAAGAGATGTCGTTTGTTATTGGGAACGCAGAAATAGCCTAAATAAAATGATAATCTTCTACCAGGAGAACTCTAAATATTTAAAGACAACATATAGATTCCCATCCTTGGTATTGGTCTGTCCACCAGGCGCTTAGTAGCTACCTGGTCTCCTGTCTTACCTTTTCATCTTTTGTCCATAGAGCTGCTGTAAGGCTGGTCACTTCTGCAAGAAAGGAAAGGAGGAAGAGACTGGATCAAGTCTGGAGGTTTGTTTGAAGAGGGACAATGCAGGGGATAGCTACAAAGTAAGACTGACAGGTATATTTCATCCAATTGGGTGTTTTTGATTCACGTGTCCTACTGTCTTCCAGATTTGCATACTTCTGCAGAACCCTTTGCCCATTTTTGCAGGAGATATTAGGAATATTGGGGTAAGTGTGGATTGGGCTGTGGATGTGAGAAGACCTGAGAGCAGGAACCAGGAGACCGGAAACACCAAATGAGACCCTTAAACAGAAAGATGTGTGTGTCAGAGGTCAAAGTACCTACCTGTCAAACAAGCACTCAGACTCCATTTTCTCCTATATGTTTGCTTATCCATAGGAGGGCCTGCTATCTGCTTAGGGCTTAATACTACTGGACAAAGCAAGAAGAGGAAAATTGCACCACATAAGTGCAGGTTGGTATGAGAGTGGGTACCACTTTGAGTGGTCTAGAGGAGACCAACACAGGTCCAGGAGTGATTAGGGTCTGGTCTGGGTGCTCCTCAGCCTCTCCCATTGCCAAAACACTTTCCCACCATTTTCACACCTCTTTTGTAGCAGGCAAAGCTCTGGGAGTAAAGGGTGTGCGCAAAATGAGGGTGGCAGAGAGACCTTCTGATAACCTAACTGTCCCACTAAGCATTAAAGGTCCAGTCTCTGTG